GTGTGGCCTTACCAGCGTTTTGTACAACGGCATTCGAATGTTGGCTGTTTTATTTTCAACCCCCTTCTTTTTTTCAATCCCCTTTTAGCAAGGCCCCTGAGGAACAGCTCACCTGCAGGGGCATAAGCAGATATAGACAAAGGGACCAATATAAAAGGGTTATATTTGTTGCTTCATATTCATCGGGGTCTGTGGACCTCAAGAATACGAAGCAACAAATATCTGACAAATCAGGGATAGTTGTTGAATATCCCGATTCATTTTTATATTCATCCCCTTGGCTAATCACAACTCATGAACCTTCTTATTCCATATGTAGTGGAACCGGGACTAGGGAGGGAACTCTCTACAGCTGCTCCAGATCCTTTTTGAGGAGAAAAGTGGGATATTCATAAGGTTGATAAATTAAATAAAATTCACTGTGGGCCCATAGTGAGTTTTTCACAAGCGCCAGCATGCTGGAAAAATGGCACGTTCTCTGTTACACAGAGTATGTCTGTGCGAGATGTGAGCCCTAGTGGTAATGGTGGCAATGGCTACAGCGTCTGGCGCATCTTGCCAACCCAGGTGTACAAATAAAATGTTCCCAAATGACATTATGTCACCTCCAGCACCCCTAGTGGGTTATCTTCCCTTGCATCACACTCCGGGGGGCGGGCTGTGACAAGTTGCAACAAGTGGGCCTCAGGTGGGTGCAAATATGGGACTGCAGGCCGCGGGCAGGGATGAAATGGAGGCCAGCGATAGGACCCAGCCAGGCGAGGAGGTGGGGGCTGAGGCTAGTGGGAAGATGGCAGGGATAAAGGAGGGGAGGAAGGAGGAGGGGAGCACAGAGACAGACAACCGAGTCAGGGGAAGAAGAAATGGGCCTGAAGCTGCTGAGGAGCTGGACCCCCTCTTTTGCATATATGTAGAAAAATCCAAGACTGGGGTATTTGTGGAGGCTTCTGGAGGCAAGGGGTGAGGTGCAAGGTGCTGGAGGCACAAAAGGGCAAACCATGAATAAAATTAAGTTCGAGCTGCTTCATGAGTTTGTAATCTATGGAGACAGTGGTCAAGGGGGGGGCTTACCTGCTTCCTCTAGGCTGGGGTGGTGGCACTCACAAATTGTCCTATTTACCTTGGATTCTGGGCCCATTTCCTATTTAGTTCTGCCCAGTTCTAATTCTTGCCTGCCCCCTTCTGTGACATCAAAAGACACAGAGCGAGAGAGAGAGAGAGAGAGAGAGGGAGAGGGAGAGAGAGAGACGGGATGCTGCTGACCTGGCAAGATTTATTACATTTACAGATGTGGAAGATGGCCAAAACACCAATCCCTTTCCTCATGCAAACCCTTTCCCAAAACCTACTCCCCTCTGCTGCAACAATTGACCTTCATGGTCCCCCGTCAGCAGCAGCATTGATTACATCTCCACCATTTCCCTCTTCCACAGTCTCTCACTCTGGGTCCTCCACCATTAAGCCTGTTCCTCCCAGCACCCGTAGAGTAGGCAAAAAAGAGAGAGCACAGGTTCACCCAGGAGCCATTGCAGGGGATCAAGTCTGTCAGGAAGTACATATCAAAGCCAGAGTTTAAAAACTGCATTGGGAATATGGCAATTATCTCTTCTCACCACATTTCTCAGCCCTGACTGAGGTTTAATTAAAACCAAGTTAAAATACACACACACACACATGGAATCGCTATTTCAGATATCACTCTAGTCCATACATTGTGGGTTAGGGGCCTTTTTTTCTATAAAGAGGAAAAATAAAGCTTTTATCACAGAGTTTTTAATTTACTGAGAGAACCTTCGAGCTCAGTTGGATATTATTCGCTCATAATATTTTCTTGAAAGAAATATATATATAAATTAGCTAATCCCCCATAATCTCCTTGAGTTGCACCTAAAACACAGTTTCTTCCAAGTGACCTTTTCCAGAAAGGCTGTTTCTATGGCAACGGCATTGTTCGATTCAGTCAGGAGAAAAATACGCACGGGGGAGAAAAATACTTAATTTTGCTGCATTTGATGATACATTTAATACTGACAACATGTCAATGAGTGCAAAACCTACCCTCTTCATTGTTTGTTAGAGCCATTTTATATGGAAAACTAATGACCAGTTCTTGAAAATGTTGCTCTCTTCTCCAAATTTGTAAGGGGAGGGGGTGTAAGAGAGAGGGTCA